TGTTTTAAGGATGTATATTGTATAATGCTTGTTTGCAGAAAAACTGTAAGATTCTATTTTGTCCAACTGTAATTAAGCTTAGTCGTTAGTATTTGTATTATTATTTTTCATTTTGCACTGGCCTCAATATAAAATTTCATTTTTAATCTTTGGTACTTACCATAGCATATTATAAATATTTGTGTTTTATGTTTATTTTTTTTGTCTGACTTCATGTGTTTCTAGCAGTGGTATTAAGCAAAGATTTGCCGAACCTGTATGACAGACCCCCACCCTCCGGGGATGGAAGAAGGATTGACAACATTGTGTGTGTCATTAGTGAACTTTTTATTCTCTTGCGTACGAGCCCCAGTGTCCACTTAAGCGCTGCGGTGGGGCCAGTGACAGTGTTTAAGAAAGACTTGTTAAGGACATCCCTTTTGGGGATGCATCCATTTCTCATTTTGTAGGAGTAAGAAAACAAGGCTTTTATCAGCAAAATGCCAAGAGTAAGAGTGCTCTGGTGTTGGGGAAAGCTGTTGTCTTTCCTTTTTGTAATAAAACCTTTCTGTAATAAAACTTTTCTACATTTCTTATGGTATTCTATCTTAATTATTTCAATCCCGGAAGTTCAGTGTCATTACAACACCATAACAATTTTTATGGCTATTAACATCAGAAAGAAACAGAACTGGTAAATGTTTTCTTTATGAATCAAAAGGCAATGCTAATTATAAATTTGATAAATTTGTTTTTAAAAATAAATTATTATTACTTTGATGTTATAAAACATTTATGATAAATATTAGAAACAGACACCAAAAGCCATGAAACTGGCATGTATTGCATAAGAATGCTTTATATCACAAAACTATATTTTATTTTTGAAAATGAATACACTGCTTCAATGTGCCCAAAATAGCACTGCATCAGACAGTTATACAACAAGCATTTTATTACACAACCCATCTTTAAAAATGAAGCAAAGCAACCACATATATTTTATTTCATTTTTAACAATTTTATCATCATAAATTATTCACAAAATAACACATGAAAAACACATAAAATATACTGATAATAAATAGAAAATCATTTTAGCAATAAATGCAGTATATAGCTCATTTTATTACAACAGGAGTATCCAATTTTTTTGTGGCTGGAATCGACTTTTTTACATTCAGCTCAAATCAAATTAGTGAAATTTAGCACCTTTAAACCATTGACCAATTAGATGAAAATGTTAAAAAAAAATGTTAAAAAGAAAAACTATACAAACAAAATTGTGCTTATTCATTTATTCTGCTGTGTCATGATATGCATGTTGATCTGCAAAAAAAGTTATCTGATTGGCATGAGTGATCAAAAGTTGTTTTATGATCAATTGATTGGCCATATCTGCTTCACAGCATTTACATTACATAGACACTTGAAAATACAAAAAAAAAAAAAAAAAAAAAAAAAGATAGATTAATATAATAGGCAGGCATTTTATATCAATAATAGCACACATATTCTGCATTCTACATTCATTATTCTGCATGCAAAAAATAAATATTTACTGAATACATGTCTATTCTCACTGTATTTTTAATCCCAAAATAGTTGCGAAGAGGACATACACCACTCATTGTGCTATACTGCCTCTATACTTACGATGTCTGATATAATCATGCATAACTTTTCAAACATTTCCCTTAAAATACATTTTTTGCTGATACTTGAAAAATTTCCAAGCATATTTTTCAGTTGAATAAATGGTACCATCAATGCAACCGACTATGTAACAAAAAAATCTGCACAAACAATTTTCATATTTTTATTCTTTTATTTAAAATAAAGAAATTTTAAGTATAATTTTATTTACATATGCGATATTTAACTGTGATTCTCTCATTTCATTTTTCAATTATCAAGGCTTCTTTTAAAATTTGTTACATTTTACATTCAAATATTACAAATTTCTATAAATTTACTTTTACATTATTTAGATATTCGTTAAGCTATTTTTTCTTTTAATAGACACTTGCCTCAAACAGCAAGGCATTTGCTAAAGAAAACAGTGCTTTATCAGCAAGAATATTGTCAATAAAACAACACACTAAACTAAAATTGCTGGAATGGTAGAAATAACACAAATGTCTGAGCTATATCCAATATTTGCATCCACAACCATTAATATGGGAACTGATTCTCCTAATCAAAGCATCAAAAGGGGTGCTTAACTCGATCAACTAATCTATATTACTTTTATTCTACCCAATGATTGAAGAGTTCAAGTAACTGCAAGTCAAATTAGTTCAGGTGAAAGTATCGATAACACTGAAGAATGGAATATTTAAAAATACAGTCAAAAGTCGTTAATCCAGACTCGCCGGGACTTCGGCGATTCCGGATTATAGATCATCAGTTTAAATCTGGTAAGATGGTATGTAGAAATTATAAAATTAAAAATATGAAACCGTAATTTATGAAATAAAGAACAATTATGATCTAAAGGGTATCAAAAATTTAGAAAAAACAATTATTAAAAGTACAATTATGATCTAAAGGGTATCAAAAAAGCTTAATATTTATTTGTTTACTTTATTAAACATTTCTTTCAATGTAAGTTGTTTAAGTTGCTTTGTTTTTTATGTGATAATACATTCTCTTTAATTCTATAAACAGACATAATTTCTTGTTCAGTTACAAAGTTCCGCTGTTCAAGTCCTATAATTGCTGTGTCGAGAATACCGACCAATTTGTCAATCGAAATTTTTTCGTTTTCAATAACCTCTGTGTCACTTTCTTCACTATTGGAAGCAAATTATAATGACGAGGAATTTGATTTAAATCATATCAAAGACAGAGTACATCGAGATGAATAATACATTTAGTAAGGAATTAAAAGCCAAATAAAATAAAAACACCTGCTCTGAAGATAAGGATAGTGCTGACAGATCAACTTCCAATTCATTGCGCGCCACGGTGTTAAAGCTAAACAAAGTTTAGATAAACAAACGTTAAAGTTTAGATAAACAAAGGATATGCCTTTATCCACTTTTTGTTTAATGGACTTCGAAACATACTTTTGCTTTGTAGATCCTTTACATATTAGTAAATATATATCAGAAATTCTAATTGACATAATCGAAAGTTCAAGCTTACCTTTATAAAATTGCTCAAACAGTCTGCAAAAAATAATAAGCCTAATCCAATTCGAAGATTAAAGAACAACACAATCTGCAACATTAACTGAATTAGATAATTTTAGCTTAGCTTATACCATCTGTTATACATTAAACGCGCATTCGTAAACGTATTTTACGCACGCATATTCGCAGCCGTAAAGTTCTTACGCGCATGCGTCAGAAAGTTTGTAGCTTTGAGGTCCGGATTATAGATCATTCCGGATTATGGGTGTCCGAATTAACAACTTTTGACTGTAATAATATGAAGAATGGAATATTTAAAAATAATAATAGAAAAATCATGATTTAATCTTTGAAAGAGAATTTAACTTGTCAATACAAACTGTCGGGTTTTTTACATTTTAAGTATGATGTAGTGCATAGGTGCAAAATGATAGAATATTTTTTTTACTAAAAAAATACTTATAAATTTAATCTTTGAAAGAAAATTTAACTTGTTAATGTCACATTTTGTGCCGTTCCCCATTTGCTCATTACAAACCGGTGGGTTATTTACATTTAAGTATGATGAAGTGCACAGATGCAAAAATGACAATTTTTTTTTAATCTACTGGAAAAAGTACTTATTAAATTTTGCATAATTTGTATGTTAAATATTTTACCAAGTTTCATGTATTTTTTTTAAGCTCTTAAAAATATTCCAGTGTATTGAGAAGTATACTTTGTCCATGGCATGGAAATGCAGGTGTTTTATGATAAGTATACTCACCTATGGTAGTCAACAAGTTAATGAAAATAAAAAATATCGTTGTTCCATTTTCATTCACCCATGTAATAAATTTTTATTAACTTGAGTGACCACATATTTATATCTTATAGAGATTCTTGGAATAATTCGTGATTCAAATGTCATATCATAATTATATGTGAAATTTTTAAAATTAAAAAATATTATATTATTTTACTTTAGTTTTAAGATGTATCTACCCCTTTGCACCCATGGTTGTGTGAGACTTAGAGAACTTTAAAATATGTGCTACTAAAATGTACACTGCTTGGCCACCTACTAAATGTTTTTGTAAACTTGTCAAGATTCTAAAATTAAGAAACATTCAAATTTTAATTACATTCAATTAAAAAATCATTATTCTACATATTTTTCTTGAAATAAAATAAATGTCTTATTGCTTATAGAATATAATTTGTAAATGAAATAATTATTTTACATTATTAATAATTTAAACAATAATAGCAATGATACATGCCACTCTTAGACTATTTATGGCTTTATTATTCCACAGTTGACACTCTATGAGAAAAATAAAATATTACTTCTTATAATACAAAAATGTCAAGACTGTCTGGAATACCTTAAAATCCTGACGGATTAGAATTCGCTTATATAAATTTGTAGAACTTTAGAGATAAAATGATTTATGAAATAAATTATTCTATGCGATGATAGAACTACAACATACCTTTCAATCTCAGCAAAACTTCTCTTCCTGTTCTTTCTTTCTTCAAAATATTATAAAATCCATTATATTGGAAGCTTACTTAAAAATTTTGCTTTAGATATGTTAATCCAAATTACAGAATTAGCATATGTAAAATATTTAACAAAATAATCATACAATCTGATAATTAAAAATGCATAATTAATAATCTCTCTTCTTCATATACACATTACTTATACAAATACATACATATGTATAAAGAATATTTCATACACATTCACTTAATTATCTTTTTCTCTCACTATCTATCTATATATACTTTTACATTGCACATCTAAAAGGGAATTTGCAAAATTTCAATTGCAGGTTCCCAAGTAAGTTTTCAATGCCAACTGAAAAAGCAAAGAATATATTGAAATGTAAATAGTGGTTTTTTTTTTTTTTTTTTCAAAATCTATTGTTAAAGTCTAATTATATAATGGCTGTAGCCATTATTTTTGTTGTTTGCATGAACCTGTTCAGAGTGCAAATTATTGCTGCAATTTTAATTTAATTTTGAACACAACCTTTTCTTGAAGCATCATATCAAATGCTTTCGCCTTAAAGATGCCAATTTACATAAACAGAGATATCCATGAAAAATGAACCAACCAGTTCTCATTTTCAAATTCAAAGCTATTGACATTCATTACTTTATCCACTGCTTCTGATTACTTGTCAATTGGTGAGCTCTGGAGGCCACAGGTTATCATGCCTGATAAAGTAAAATTTTATTTCAAAGTTCGCTATAATTCTCAGCTATATTTAGTTCTTCAGTTAGTTTTCTATGCTCTTCAAGGATCTTTACAACATGAAGATCTTCAAGGCTCTTCCTTAAACGACGACGTTCTCTATCGGTCATTTCACTTTTAATACTAAATTCAGCTATTTCTTTGAAAGCAGTAATAACCTGCATAAAGAAAACAGTAACATGTAATAGATCACTTGTTAAATACCTGAAACATGATATTATGTTTATGGAAATACAAACAGCAATCTAACCACAAGCATTTTGAAGTTATACTAATTGTATAACACAACCAGAATAAAAATGCGGGATTTTCTTGAAATAAAATAGTTTTTAGAATGTTTAGGAAATTTTTAGTTTCCCTCTCTTAATCTCATCATGTTCATGAGACACTTTGATATCCATAAAGATGCACCATTTCCAAAATATGAAAATTAGCTCACATTTTTTTATCATCAGCATTTTAACTGTATTTATTTGTTGAAAAATTTATTTAAAATTCTGATTTCTTTCCATAACCACAATTTGGAGTTTTGCAAGGAGATACTATAATTCTCAGTAAACAATTACGAAAGTTATATTTATCTTATCTATTTCTTAAATATTGTCTACTACTAATTAATGCTTTATGATTATATCGAGTATAGATGGGTATGTATGCAACAGCACTCAACTTTCACAAGAAGTAAAATGATTTCAAAATAGCATGCCTTTTGTTTGCCATTAAGGTTTTATGATTATTTTGAGTAGAGATGGGTATGTATGCAACAGCAATCAACTTTCACAAGAAGTAAAAATGCTTTCAAAATAGCATGCTTTTTGCCTATAATTTTTCTACATTTGGTTTCCTTCCCACAATGACAACACACACTGACGAGCTAAGACATTATGACCATCCCCATACTTTTCAATAACTCATCTGGATGATGTATCTCATCTGGAGCACATGATTAAGTGGAAATGGTATTTAACTGCTGGTGGAAAAGGTACGGAATCATTCTTGCTCTTAGTTTTGAGAGTGATAGGAAAGGCTACTGATCTAAGCGAATTTGATAGAGGGCAGATTTTAACAGCTGAAAACTTGGAACAAGTATCTCTGAAACTGCATGACTGGTAGGTTGTTCAGGATCTGCCATTTTTAGTTGATAAATGATGATGAAACCAGCAGCAGACGCCAAGGTGTTGGATCTCCACGTGTCAAAGAAAAAGAATGTCAACAAATTCAATTGAATTATGCGCTTGGTACAGCAAAATAAGCACCAGACAGTGGCTCAGCTGACAGCCCAATAATGCAAGTCCAAGTGCAAATGTTTCAAAGCACACAGTTCAGCAAACATGGTTGGATACAGTACTGTGCAGCAGACGTTCCACTTATGTGCCTCTGTTGACAAAGCATCATTGTCAACTATGACTACAGTGGGCCTGGGAACACTGAGACTGGACCATGGATAAGAGGAAGATAGTTGTCTGGTCAGACAAATCACGATTTCTCATTCATCATGTTGACGGTTGTGTCAGGGTACACCATATTCCAGGCAAACAGTTGGTCCCCCCTATATAGCAAGTCATACACAGGCTGGTGGGGGGGGGTGGTATTATGCTTTGGAGGATGCTCTTATGGGTAGCTCTGGGACCCTTAGTTGTGCTAGAACAGACCATGAGAGCTGAGGACTATCTGAGCATAACTGTGCACCCTTACATGGTGTCTTACAAGTTGCACCCTTACATGGTGTCTGTCTTCTCAACTGGAAATGGAATCTTTCAACAAGACAACATCCCATGCCACAAGGCATAAATTATGTTGCAGTGGTTCAAGGAGCATAAGGATGAAATGCAATTAATGTCCTGGTCACCTAACTCACCAGATCTTAACCTGACAGAGCACATTTGGTAAAGATATACTATTATTTTAGAAGATAATATATAGATGACATTCTGTGATAAGCAAAGTGATATTCCTTTCAAATTTCCACCTTTTGGAAAAATGGTACATCTTTACAGGCATCTAACAAACATAAGAATAAATGATATTCACATAAAAAAATATGAAAACTTTATTAAATATTCTAAAAACACTGACTTGAGAATAAAATCCCATATTATACCCCCTCAAATATTTTGATATTCACAGTCACAGCCATGCCAGGGGCAGGAGAATAAGGCACGGGCATTGGGTAAAAATGAAAGGAATAGCAAAATTAAAATATAGCACATTTAAATATCAGTATAAAATTAATAAATATTTAAGGACGGCAATTTTTAAATTTACCTCAAAGATTAAAATACACTGGCATGAATCTGTTCCTTGCATTTCTGACAACATATGCACGTCTATGAACTATATCACATTATCTCTGTGGCATCTGTGTGCATAGGACACATTTCATCAGTGTTGAAGAATTTTATATTTTAAATATCTTGAGTTCCAACTTAATATCTTGAATTCGAAGTCTGCTTGCTATTACCTTTGAATTTATTATCTACTAGCCGCTATGTGGCCAGCCTTTGTCTGGCTTTTAAATGTACCGGAAAACATACATCCTCTTGACAAACATTGTATCCAAGTACCTCTTGACAAACATCCAGTATCCAAGAGAAACATTAAATTTAACAACTGTACAGAATTATCCCCCTCATTTTTCTGAGTGGCAACAGTGATATATCACCAACAATGGCTGCGTGACATTGTTGCAGATATAATGAGAGAGAATTATCAATTTGATGTGATTTCATCAAAAACATAAAATAAATAAATAAATAAAAAAAACCTTACTTCGGTTTTATAATTTTTAAAATTTTATTACATATATACATTTATTTGAAATTACATTATATATTTATTTAAAACAAAAAACAGCAAAACTCTACCTTTCAACTTCATTTTTTTTTTTTTTTTTTTTAGAAATGGGAATTTAAGTGGAATAAGTGATTTTGTAACCTACACATATTTAATATTATCTAATATATACATTAAGAATTTATGGATAGACACATAAAATTAAAGTGAGGTACAACTATATCCCAGGAACATTTCACTAAAAATACATATATGCATATTTTACTTAAGATCTAAAACTACATCATATTTGGAATTAGAACACTGAAGTGAATCTGACAACTCATATTTGCAGTACTATTTATTCACAGGTAGCTATATTTTTTCAGAGATCTAGCATTACTTTGATATTATTGACTATTTAAAAAAACTTAAGTAATTTTGCTGTGCAAAATGTTTTGTATTTTACTTTTACACCTCGCAGACCCTCATGTAAGAAAACCTCATGAAAAAAAAAAAAAAAAACCTAATTTCCGTTGGAAATAAATCGCTATCTTCGGATAAGGCCATTGCAGATGCTTTGGACAGTCTTATTCGCACTTCCAGGGAAAGGAAAAATATGCAAGAGAAATGTCAAGAAAGATTAATGTTGAATGGAAAAGGTTAGTCAAAATGCAGAATGCTATGGAAGAACTAAGTGGGAGGCTACTTTTGATGCTCTCTTTAATGCACAAGAACTGGAACTCGCACTTAGATGTCTTAACTTGAAGAATACTCTTGGTGTAGATTTGATCATATCCCTACAGAGTTTTTTATCTGCTTGGGCAATGAGGCAAGGAAAAGTATGGGAGTCAGGTCAAATTCCTGCACATTGGAGAAGAGCTATTGTTACTCCAGTCCTAAAGAAAAATAAGAACCTCGGACAGCTGAATAGCTATAAGCCCATCTCGCTTACGAGTATTCTTGCGAAAACTATGGAAAGATTTGTGGTAAATTGTTTGAGGTATCTTGAGGAATATAGTATTTTAGAAGTAGAACAGGTCAGTTTCCAAAGCAATAGGTCAATGTGTGACCAGGTGACAAAATTCAGCCAATTTATTAAGGTTGCTTTGGATGACAGAGACATTTTGACAGCTGTTTATGTTGACTTTATAGGAGCTTACGATTCTGTCTGGAGAGAAAAGCTCTACCAAAAGCTCCTCAGTATTGGTGTTTTAGCAAATTATTTAATTGGATTAGGTCTTTCACAAGCCAGAGGACATGCCGGATAAAGTTTGAATATTCTTTCTACAAATGTTTTCATTTACAAACTGGGCTTCCTCAGGGAGCAGTCAGTAGCTGCACCTTGTTTAATATATATATCGAAGATCTGGTTTCTTCTCTTAAATCAACACCTAGTACTAATTGTCTACTATTTGCTGATGATTTGGTAATTTGAACCAAGGCTCCAAAACATGGTGCATAAAAACCTTATTGAAAGTCAATTAAATAAGGCCTCGCAGGTGCTTTCAAATTGGTGTGAAGACAGCTTCACAGTCTTTTCTCTAACCCATGAAACTTTTTGCCCAGAATTAAAGTACCAAGAGACTTTGATTACCAACACGGGCAACCTTACTTATCTGGTAAAGACTTAATAATAAATTAAGTTGGAAGCTTCATGGTGAGCAGCTTATGAAATGTGTTTAAAAAAGACTTAGTATTCTTAAGCATCTAGCAGGACGCATTTGGAAATGCGCTCGGTCCACTCTTAATATTACATTTAATACTTATATCCTGCCTCTAATGATATATTGTTGTGAAACTCTCATCACTGCCCCACAATCGGTGGTTCATAAACTCGAAGTGATGCAAAACCAAGCTCTTTCCTTGATTAGAGGAGCTGTGAAGTCCACACCTAATAATGTGATGTTACTGTTGACAGGAAATAGACCCTTCTGGGATATTATGAAAATGAGGGACTTGGTTCTCTATGAGAAGCTACTGCAGATGGAGGATCCCTACGGGAAGGACTGCACAGTCATACCTAGGAATTTAAAAACTCAATATGGATTTATTCAAAAAGTCCTGGAGATGAAGAAAGATCTTGAGATTCCACATAATACACAATCTCTCTTGACAACCGGAAGCTCTTTGGAGGTGATTCATGTCGAAGTAAAGCTAGACCTAGTAGAAACCATTCATAGAAAGAGAGATGTTACACCAAGCATTTTGAAATGTCTCGCTTTGGAGACCATTGTGATTACATATCCACCTATTCAATGGCTGCACATTTTTACTGATGGTTCGCAGTTTAACTGTCATTTTGAGGTTGCGGCTTGTGTGTTTTCAAATATTTTTTCTTTCTACGCGCCTGCAGGATACATTGGTACCTCCTCCGATGGTGAAGTAGTAGTCATCTGTATACCCTACAGAAATTATTAGCTGTAGTTGAAAATATTTTGTTTTCTATTCATTTCAGTGTGAAATTTTTCTGCTGTTTTGTGTGTGCTTTATTATTGGTTAGTTAATTTAGTTTGATTTTCTGCATTGTTTATCATGCCTTCATCCATTAATCGTTTCACTAGATTACACCTGAAATGACAAAAATTCCTGAATCATCTTGACTTTTTACCCAAGTGTAAATTTAAAAAATTTATCCCCAATTTCATTTAAATCAAATCTAATCACAAACCTTCCAGTCGCGTTTCAAGAATTCTGTTAAACTGCAAGCTAGCCTTACTTTGGTCCATCATCAGGGATACACGTCAACAGTTATCCAAAATTGGACATGAGCTCTATAAGCTTTATCTGGAACTCGTTAATTCTTATCCAAAATTCACTGCCCTTGAACAAAAGTTTTGGTCTAGAATGGAGAATGCAGTTAACCGTCATAAAAAAAACCTTGCAGTTATATTTGAAAAACTACTTTTACAGTCTACCAGTTTAAGTACTTCAAAAAATCTTCCCATTGCAAACATTAAGCCAATAGTTAATATTTCTAATGTTAGTTCATCAGAAGAACAAAAGAGAATTCTAAAATATAATTTTAACTTCTCACAAACCTCTAAACATTCGATTCCAAAGATTTTGGCTCCTATCGAAAAAGCTTTCAAGTTCAGTAAAGTTTCAGATTCACAGAAAGAAATGATTAGGCATCTTATCACTTATAATGTGAAATTCAATAATAAACCTTTGAAATCAAATCTAACCACGAGAGAAAGAGCTACAATACGGGAAATTCCTTCTAACCCGGATATTATCATTTCAAGGATAGCTCTCAAGGCTTTGGCATAATCACATGCACACAAATTATCATTTCAAAGGCCGACAAAGATGGCCAGATAGTTGTCATGGATAAGAACACTTACATCGATGGTGTCACTAAACTCTTAAACGAAGGACCATATAATCTGATCACTAAAGATCCTTCATCTTTGGACTTGTCAAAAATTAAAACTGCGATCAAATCTTCACAAATCCTTTCAAGCAGATGGGACAAACATTTGGTTATCCCATCTGTTGCGAATTGTGCCAGATTATATGCTCTTTCCAAAATTGATAAAAGTGGTATTCCTTTCCACCCTATTGTATCAAATTTAGGTACTGCCTCGTATCCATTAGCTAAATATTTAGTTTCTAGATTTTCAACTCTATTAGACAATAACATTTACACCATAAAGAATTCAATAGAATTTGTAAAAAAGGTCAAAAACATTTCCCTAAAATTTACTCATGGTTTCTTTTGATGTAAATCATTATTTCCCCACGTTTCCAGTGGAGGGTGCATTAAGATGTCTAGAACCAGCTTCACGAATTTCATTTCTCTCTTGCATCGAATTGATTGACTAATCTTTCTCACTTGTTTGAAACAATGCATTTTGTTTTCCAAATAAATATTACAAGCAAACTGGGGATTAGCCATGGGAAGCCCTCTCAGTCCCATCCTGGCTGATATCTATATACATTATTATGAATGAAATTGTTTGAAACTTTAAACTTCCCGGTATAGTTCCACTACGTAGATGATACTTTTATTCTGTTTGAAGATAATAAAGATGATTTAAATAAAGTTCTTTCAACAGTGAATTCCATTGATCCTGCTATTCAGCTCACTTTCGAACTTGAGACTTGCAATTCTCTTTCATTTCTCGACATTCTGGTCACACATAACACATCCAACTTCAGTACTACGGTTTACCGTAAACCTTTATCGGTTTGTCTTCCACCACTTCAAATCATGTCATCCGACTAAACAAAAGTTAGCTTCATTTTATTCCTATGTTTCCCGTGCTCTTCAAGTCTGCTCCTCCAAACTAGCCCTTGATGAAGAACTAAAATATTTAAAAGCAACAGCTATTGACAGGGGCTTTTTAGCCAACATTATTAATCAAGCAGTTAAAAAATTCTCATCGCAACACACCAAAAGGCACATTCTTGTTTTAGATTATAAAAAATCTGTTGTCATTCCCTTTTTTCCATCAATTAGCTATAAAATTGCATGTATTTTGACGAAATTTAACTTTCGGGTCGTTTATACTCCCATCAATAAAATTCCGAGTTCCATACTCAAGGACCCCATTCCGGATATGAATTCATGGGGTATTTACAGGATTCCTTGACAGTGTCGTTTAATTTACATTGGTCAAACTAAAAGAGCCTTAAAATTTTGTGTTAAGGAACATGTGGCATATGTTAGAGAAAAGGAAACACAGAAGTCTTCTGTTGCCCAACATTGGTGGTCTGAAAATCCCTCTTTCAATTTTTCTGCTGCCCAAATTATTCAAAAAACATCTTCCATTGGTGAACTGGATTTTCTAGAAGCATTTCACATTCAAAAAAATCTTTCTGTTCTACTTAACGACCCTAATTCCAATCCATCTTTGCCTTTTACCTTTAAAGAAATTATGTTTTAGTTCTGGTTTCATCAACAGATGGCACCAGTAGCTTATCTCCTGTCCAGGCTTTCTCATCTTAACTTATCTAATCTCGTTAATTTGCTCTTTTGCAGCTGAAGCTGATGCTTCGGTAAAACCATTGATAGTCCTGTAAAAATTTGAAAATATAATGTTGATTTTTGTTGTTTAAATTAATATTTGTTTGGCGTGTTATTGTATCTTAATTATTAGCTATTCATTAGAAGTTTTCAAAGGAAGTCTTTATTTCCGATTCTCGTGCAGGTACTCGATCAATTAGCTATGTTAAACACCCATTAACACCTGGAATTTTGCAGTGTCAGGAATTCCTAAGAAGGGAAACAAATTGTTCTACAGTGAGTGCTTGGCCATTGTGGTAATGAACAAGCACAAACTTATTTCCTCGAATTTTCTTGCAAAACGAGGTGCCAGCTTACTACAACATTCTAATACAGTCATTTATTATTGGAGAATAAACTGTTTTTAAAAAGTTACATCTAATTTCTTACAAGATCTTCAGACTCATAGAGCATTAAAAAGCTGGAGAATGATAAGTCCATCTCTCATTCTCGATAATCAATCCAAGACGTAATGCAGTTGCGGCTTTCCATCTATCTACAGGACATGATTGCCTTGCCTTCAAGCGATCCTATTTGCCTACTTTGTAATTCTGGAGAAGAAATGGACAAAGACCACCTGCTTCGATGTGGGGATCTTTGTGGTCTTACACAGGAGTTGAGATACTGAGCGGCAAGACCGCTCCTTAGTCAGTGACTTCAGTCTTTTTGTTCTTTGTTCTATTGTTCGTAACCTCCGTTTTTAAGATTTTAGTTCTTTGTAACTTTTTGCCTAGCCATTGGAAACAATAATAATTAATAAAAAAAACTTACACCTTGAAGATGATTTTAGGATAACATCCCACTAAGAAAAATTTTAATATTCTGGAGTTTCCCCAAAAGTGGAGGTAAACAAGCAAAATACTGGTCTAAGTAGTTAAATTATATACTATTATAGTATCATATAGAAGGTTGAGATTCATATTCACTCCCACTAATCTCTGTAATCACATACTAGAAAGAAAATACATACTTTGGATTCAGAATATTGCATTTTCTTCAATATTTCTTGCTTAGCCATTTCCTTCTCAGCTAAGTTCAGCAGCATCTTTTTTTGATTAGCATTCTTAGCACGAACTGAATTCAATTCACTCTGCAGTTTTTTAAGCCTGGCAAGCACTTTATCTTCTGGTGGTTTAGGTTCATCTTCCAAAATGCCTAAAGAACAACACACAGAATTCTTTAAAACACATACACAGAGAATACTACTTCTATATTTCAAATAGTTCTGGGAAAAAAATTAATTGTTCAAGAAATTAATGTCATTAATAAATTGAGAGTTTTGCAATTAGCTTTTAGTAGCTGTAGTACCATAACTTTTACCTAATAATGTGCCTACCACAGAGGGGGAAAAAAAAAGTCTTATCTGTCATTTATAAAATAAGAACAAAGGAATTAAAAAAAAAAAAAAACCCTCATGTGTAACCACATGACTTTCTTGTTTGTAATATTAAATTACACACATTTTCCCCCACATTTCATTTAAACTTATTTCCTCGAATTTCATTAGAGATACATTTCTCATTTAATTAATTCAAGTCTCACTTTGCGAAAAGGCAAAAATGCTTAATACCTAAAAATATTTTTATTAAAAATTGAAAAATATAAAACATAAATACAGTTAAAACAATTTAAAGAACTTTTACAATTAAAATTAGAGTTTCTATGCAAAAACAAACAATTCGGCCAGCGTGCAAGAAGGCAAATTTTTCGGTGCAAAAAACTGAAAGTCTGCTTTTGGTCTCGCTCGGCAAAAAGGCACTTAAGGTATAAAAACTGACTTAGTTTGTTGTGGATGCTGAGTCAATATACGGGACAATTTAATAACTTAAATGTTAATTCCAAAATAGATTAAGCATGATTTAATTCACAATGATAAAAGAAAACTTATCTTTGTTCTTGTGAAGCTTAGTTCTTTTTAGATTAGCAACAAATATTCTGCCAAGTTTCAAATGTAAACAAATATGGCTACTATGGTATAAAAAAATTAGGCTTAGCCACACTTAAACAACTTTCAAATTGCTGATAATTTTACAATTATTGCATGTATGTAAACTAAGGGCATAAGAACCTTAACCGGAAGTAAGAACAACATAATTCAATCATTTTTAAAGCAAAAAATGAGTACATAAGAATAAAAAAAGAATGAGCTCACCGAGCCAAGTAACAGAGTGGCTATATATATATATTTACATACTTTTGGTGGGATCAATTGCAACCAAAACGGGTGGTGCACAATAACATATTACAGCAGTCCTATATACAAAATTTCAACATGCTGAGGCTACTTGTTTTTGAGTTATGTGAGATACATACATATGTACAGACACATTTGAGTTATGTGAGATACATACATACATCTCTTTGAAATTTATTTTTGATCAGTTTCATATTGTTTTTTGGGGAAAAGGGTCCTATATTCTATCCTTACATACAGATGTCAATCAAAAACATTGTTAAATTGCATTTGATAGCAGTTAAAATGGATATTTTCGTTGAAATATGGTACCCAAAAGTTTTTGTTATTACAATACTTCCCCTTTACTTCATACAAGGAAGTAAAAATTGCTCAAACAACAGATTTTGTGCAAAGTTTGCTATTTTGTAGACATTTAAATATACAGAAAACTTTAACAAATTTTTATTTAGTAATAAACATAGCAAAACTACTGATAGACAGTTATAATATAATGATTAATTTTGACTTATATAAAACATTTTTTTAGTCAAAAGAAATGCCTTTTCTTTAACATCTTTCCTTTTTAAACTATTATAACTGGTAAAAAGTTAGAAAATGTTTCTGCAAACACCAACAAACTTTCTACAGATAGTTTGGGTTGACAACGGAGATGAAAGCAAATTACAGTTTATTATGAAAAGTTAAAAAAAGCTAAATATACATCTGGGACAATACTTAGTACAAATGAGAAAGTAATTCACACATAACACTACTGGTTTTATTTAATAATACTAAACTCTCATAGTTCATAAATACGCATTTCACACTTTTAATCATTTACTTGCTAAATACAACTATAGATAACAGTTATCTTAGCTAATAACAGATAATTACACAGTTATAACATACCTTTACAATTTATTATTTCTAATTACATCCCATTTGAAAATATTAATCATGTAAACAGGCAAATTTCATACCAAACATAATTGTAAAATATATTTTTAATTTTGTTCTGTCTCTTTTTCTTTTTAAAGTCAATCATCAGATTGACTTAATCACTTTATAAATTAATAATCATTATTAATCACCCTAGTGGCAAAGACCCTCAACTAAAATCTCTTCTTTTAAAGTCTTGACAAGGAACCAAATTCTGCTATTTCTTCTGCCCATTCTGTATCCAGAATAATGCTAAAAGCGGCAGTCATTTCACTCTCTTGAGTTGCCTTTTCCCCTAGTTCAAATGCCCGTCCTTTAAGAGGTGCGTATTGGCACATCTCTGTCCTTTTCTCCAGCAGGTTCCCATTATTACAAGGAAGATTTAATTGAATGTATACCAGGTTTTAGTGGTTATCGCCCTGTTGGCTGCATAACACGAAGCCAGATTTTAAACAGCGTATGTATTTTATGAATATGGGTTCAAAATTTATATCGCTTTGCGTTTTTAGTTTTGAAACATTATTTACTTTTATTTCTTCATGTTTTAATAAAATATTTCACAAAATCAGCATAAAAATTGTAGTTATTCTTCAAATATGAAAATTTATAGAAAATTACATTTTGATTCCACCATAATTTTCATACGATTACTCATTTTTATTACGTAGCAAAAAGAATAATAGGACTAATAATTAGGCCCAAAGAAACCTAACGCGGTTGCTGGGGGAAAGAAAACCTAACGCGAGCGTATATATGCTTGCTGGCCGCTTAAACCGAGATTTTGGTTGGACATATATATGCTTGCTGAGTGCTTAGAAGGGGATTTTGGTTGGACGTATATATGCTTGTCAGCCGCTTAGAGCACGATTTTGGTTGGACGTATATATATGGTTCGGCCACTTAGGTGGTTAAAATACAACCTAATTTATCAAATCGATAAATATCCTTGGTAAGAGATTTATAAAGACAAATGCCTTCAGCATAGCCAGTTGACTGTACTGCTTTATGCTGTTTACATACACATTGTACAGGAACACATGCAGTTAGCATTATCAAGTTTTTACAAAAATTTGGTGGTAAATATAATATTATATATAAGAAGATGGAAACAGATTACAAGCAGAGTACACAAATAAAAGGTTTGAAAATATGTGGTTTTCATCAATGATGCACAGAATTAAGGCACCAAATGAATTAGGCAAACATACACAAGAACACATGTTTTGAGTTTTTATAAAAATTACACAAAGTGCATAAGAGCTATTAGCTCAGAAAAAATCTTCATGAAAGACTGCTTATTAAAAAATGGCTTATATTAATGATACATAAAATATAATTCTCACAAATCTGAAACATTAATTACAAAAATTAAAAATTATTATAAATATTGATTTAATAACATAATACCATATTTAATCAATTTTTTTTGTATTTGATTTTCAAGTTCATCAGCTGATCCAAACAGAGATGATAGCTGCAATGATTTCATAAACTCTGGTTTAGCTGAAGTATGCATACTTGCAGAATCTTTGAAAAAATAAAATCAAAATCAAAAATAAAATAAATAAATATATAAAATAAATTGAAAATAAAATATTGATGTTAAAAGCATGTGCATATATAATGTTAAGTTTGAAAGGGTTTCTCATTCAGCTACATAGAATTGTTTCATTAAAATAACATCTAATAAATATTTGAGACTGGAAATACACAAAATTTGACGTATGATATTCAGTGCACTTACAGAAAAACTGTGATGTATTGTATGAAAAATAATTTCATAACAATCTGTAACAATTATAGTGCGTTAAATAAGATCAGTAGAAATAAATTTCAAAATACTATGTTTCAAAAATTATATTAAAAAAATAAAAAAGTAAGCAAATTTCCTTCACTGCTTCCTTAAAAAAGAAGTAGTGTTTCTTGCAATATAAAAGTGTATCATATGATTTGTTAGAAGACTGCACATTCTCATATACACCTATGTTCATTGTGTTACCTGAATGCAAATATTATTCACTGTTTAATTGGGTGAAATAGATAAGACAAACATCTGTTACCCCCAACTTTCAAGTCTTCTAAGCTCCTCCTTTTAAGTATTAAGTGTACGTTTCCATATTCTCGCCTTGCTAAAAGACGGCAATAGTGATTTGTTATATGCTCAAACTGTGAATTCATGCTTATTTATATGCAGCTGAGCTAGCTTTTGGTATTTGCAAATAAATGCTGCACTGAAAATGCTGTTTATTACAGTATAAAATCTGAATTCCAAATGTCCAATATTAGGAATGGTCTCATATCTTCACATCCAAACCAACACCAATTTTTTAAAAACAAAATCTAGAAAATAAGGCTATAATTAATGGTTTAAAAAAAAGTATGCTACTATAAAAGTGATTTTTCTCCAGGCAAGCTGAGATTTCTGTGTCACTTTAATGACAAAGGTTCCTCGGGTAGTCTAAGAGAATCTGGGGGGGGGGGGAAGAGGAGATTCTTCATCTCTGAAAAAGGTCACTACATCATAAAAAGGTGATACTGTGGGTATAAAAATGAGCTCAGCTGGAGAAAGCAAGCATACAGGTGTGGTGGCATGGCTTCTGGGAGAGCTCTGGCACAAGATCTTGAGAAGCAACCAGGAGCCCTTGGGCACAGTTTAGCAAGCAGCAGCACAAAACTGAGTAAAATATGTGAAGCAATAAGGCAACGACTCCAATTTCGTAAGTAAAGTCCAGTATTCAAATAATTACTCATTTACTTTCAACATACACAAGGTGATCAGATGATGACACTTATTTTGCAGCTTTGCATTTTGCTTTTGTTTCCTGAGGAATAACAATACTGATTGACGTTAGCCACGGCCACACTTCCTCCCCAAAAGTGGTTGTGCAGGGAACACTTTTTTTTTATCTGACCTAAACAACAACAGAAGCACCAATAGAATTCGTTTGAAATATTCTCATATGTGGAGAACAGAAAGAATTAGGTTCCAAAGAACTTCCAAGTTCAGTTAATATAGCAAATTGCATTTTTCCTTAACTGTACATTTGAGCTGGCTTTTTATCTTTTGCAGGTTATTACTATTACATCTATCTTATCAAAATTAAAGTTTGAATTTTTGTTTAGGTTGAAGAGAGTTTCTACTTTTAGATCTTCAATCGGATCCACAAACAGAAAGCATACATTCTATAGCATCCTTGGTGCATTTTATGCTTTAGGAATTATAATTTCACAATTAGGCAAAACAATAACGTATTTTGACATAGATTTTAAATGCCATAGCATCCTTGGTACTGTGAAACTTTCTTTTTTTCATAAGAAAAATTTTTTTCCCACACTGAAAATTATGAAAATTTTCAATTTAACATGAAGTGAAAAATAAAGCTATTATATTCTTCTACAAAAGAGAGGCCTACTAGTGGACGAGCAATAAAATTGCAAAACACTGGCAGTTTGACTAAGTTCAAATCACAGCAAAAAAAAAAAAAAAAAAGTTGGCTGCTTGGAAATTTCCATTGCTTTCCCCAAGTGTAATGAAAATATAACCCAGTTTTCTTTTAAAACGTTCTCCCCAAACACAACCTTCATGTTAGACAGTATTGAGACAAATGTGGGTTTCATTCATGAAATAAATTTGTATTTTTTAAATATTTTTATTCACATTACATAATAACTTTATTTTACATACACTCACATGTATGTAAAATAAAGTTATTGTTATAAATTAATAAAATAATTTATTAAGATTTTATTATATTTTTAAAGCATTCAGCACATTCCCTGTTCCTGCTTTGCTGGTTTTTTTTTTTTTTTTTTTTTTTTTTCCTTAATTTTGCTGGTGGTGGCATCCTTGCTATTGAAAGAGGGCACTAATGCCTCGACCCCCCGACACACACTCAGGAGGGTACTCAATTGGTATGATTAAAAAATACTTTACCTAAAATCAACTAAATGAACAACATCTAAAAACAATAGTAATAAAAAATTAATCATATATGAAAAGAAACAGATATTTAGAATATAAGATTTTGATATTGGATATTATATAACCTTAAAGTAAAATGGTTCTAGGAAATCGTTCATAAAAGTTCAAATGACTTTTGAATGAGATGAGCTGGTAGTCAACTTAGAATATTAACATTTAAATTACTTTTCCCACGGTTGTAGCTGACACTGATGTCACCTTTCCAAGACCAGGGACTTTGGAAAGGCATAAATTCAGTGCCAGAAGATCATAACAGTTCATTACGCCAATAATGAGTGATTTTCTTGGCTCACAGCAGAACTTGGAACATAACAGTATCTAAAGTTGAGTACAGTCAAAAGTCGTTAATCCGGACTCGTCGGGACTTTGGCGATTCCGGATTATCGATTTTTTCCAGATTATAGATCATCAGTTTAAATCTCGTAAGATGGCATGCAGAAATTCTAAAATTAAAAATATGAAACCGTAATTTATGAAATAAAGAACAATTATGATCTAAAGGGTATCAAAATTTACAAAAAAAAAAAAGCTTAATATTTATTTGTTTACTTTATTAAACATTTCTTTCAATGTAAGTTGTTTAAGTTGCTTCATTTTTTATGTGATAATACTTTCTCTTTAATTCTATAAACAGACATCATTTCTTGTTCAGTTACAAAGTTCCGCTGTTCAAGTCCCGTAATTGCTGTGCTGAGAATACCGACTAACTTGTCAATCGAAATTTTTTCGTTTTTACTAACCTCTCTGCCACCTTCTTCATGTCTTTATCCATTATTTGCAGCAATTCAACTTTTTGTTTGATGGACATCGACACATACTTTCGTTTTGTAGATCCTTTGGCAGTTCCAGCATCGGAAATTCTATTTGACATAATCGAAATTTCAAGTTTACTTTTATAAAATTGCTCTTACAGTCTGCAAAAAATAATAAGACGGATCCAATTCGAAGATTAAGGAACAACACCATCATCAACATTAACTGAAATAGATAATTAGATAATTTTAGCTTATACCATCTGTTATACATAAAACGCGCACCCGAAAACGTATTCTGCGTTTGCACACATGCATATGCGCAGTTGTAAAGGTCTTACGCGCACGCATAAACGCCTATGCGCATGTGTCAACGCAGCGCATGCACAGAAAGTTTTTAGCTTTGAGGTCCGGATTATGGGTGTCCGAATTAACAACTTTTGACTGTACTTTGAGGTAATCATTTTTTCAGATAAAGTCAATGGGTTGTGGTCACTCACTATTTGGAGTTGACATCCATATATGCAAATTTCTAACTTTCTTAGCATGAAGATAATGGCATATGTTTCTTTTTCCATAGTAGCATATTTTCCTTGGAATTATATCAATTTCTTGCTCACAAAAGTGACTGGTCACTCAATTCCATCTTCATCAATTTCAGCAAGACAGGCTCCAATGGCTAAATTGGAAGCATCAGTGAAGCTAGTGAAAGAGGTTAGAAAATTTGAAGTAACACAATCAGGAGCTTCACAAATAGCTTTTTTGAGTTTCTTTAAAACATCATCATGTATTTTTGTCCATTGGTCATTACAACCTTTGCTCTTCATAAGCTCTATTAAAGGAAGTACTATTGCTGCAACTTTTGAGGCAATAATAGTAATTGGACACGATACCTAATAGACTTCTTACACGTTTCCTTGTCTTGGCTGGTAAAATGTTTTTAAATAGAAGCACTTTTCAGATCAGGTGAATGATTTCCGGAACCTACAGTTTGTCCTCGAAGTTTCACTTGAGGCTCAGCTGAATTTTTGGAGTTTAATCGTGAAGTTTGCTTCATCTAAGCTACTTGAAGCAGATCAAGATATTTTACATGATCTGTCAGATTATTCGAAAATATAGCAATACACCTGAATAAGCTTCATATAATTTATGATTAGTTTTATTGTATGCTGAAACGTAGCTGTGGCATTCTCCAATCCAAACAGCATAACTCTGAAAACATACTGGCCCTGATGAGTTACAAAAGATAATAAATATTTTGATTCAGATTTCATTTTAATCATTTCAACCTTTTAATAACTCAATCAAAGTTATAACTTTGGAGCTGGATACTCAATAAATTAAATCTGAAGCAATTGTTACAGGAAATGCATCCATTTCAGTTTGAGAATTCAGATAGTAAAAGTCTACACATAATCTTAGTTTGCTGTCCCATTTTGATACTTATACAACAGGATGTCCATATTCACTTCCAGAAGTCTCGGTAAGCTCTAATGCTAACAAGTCATCAGTTTCCTTACCTATTACTTCTTTTAAAATTTCAGGAATCCTGTATGGTTTTTTGCATTGTGGGTTTACTATTGGGTATCAATTTGATTCAATATTAATCAATTCCTGCAATTTTGGGAAATTCAGATAATAATGATGGTCTTTTGATAAGTAAGGCACAAACTGCTTGTTTTTGACTAGCATCTACGTTAGAATATTTCAAATATTCATTAAGAATTTATTTATCTGTTTGTTTTGTTACAAGGGTATTTTCAATGTCACCAAAATCTATCATCAGTTTCATA